TCTGGCGTGGGGCGTTCCCAGGGAATCCCTCTGTGGTGCTTTCCGATGGGCTCCTTTTTGTGCGACTTCCCAATCAGAACCCTTCAGTGGCGCTTTCCAAGTCAATAGGATCCCTGTGAAGTGCTTGCCAAATGATCCCCTTTGTGGTACTTTCTAAAAGGAGCCCGCCACAACGTTTTCCAGAGGATTCCGCTTGTGATGTTTTCCCGTAGGAGTCCTTCGTGCTGCTTTCCAAAGGATTTCTCTTGTGAGGCTTTCCAGCTCAATCCCTGTGGTGTTTTCCAAAGGACTCCTGTTGCCAGGCGCTCCGATCGAATCCACGACGTTGCGCTGTTCAAAGGATCTCTACTGCGAGGCCGTCCGGTGAAACCTGTTCGAATCCTTGCCAAGGGTTCCAGTTGTTTGTTTCCGCACAATTCTTCTGGGGCGCTTTCCAGCGAACTCCAACTATACATATTTCTAATAAAATGCGTGTTGCCAGACAGCGCTTTCCAGATGATCCCTGTTCTGAGGCCATATCATGAAATTCCTGTGTAGCATTTAGCACAGTGTTCCAAGCCCGAGCCTGTCAAAGCGAATATTCAGTGGTGTTCCAAAGTTTCCTCCTGTGATGCGTCCCAACAGCAAAGCTTTCCAAACGGCTCCGGTTATGGAGCTTTTCCACATAATCCCTTGGTAAGGATTCCCAGATCGTTGCTTCCTTTCCATCGGGATTCGCTTGTGATGCTTAAGGAAGGAGATGCATATAATGTCTACGTGGGAGAGAGGCAAAGGGAGAAAGCGAGAAAGGAATTAAAAGGATAATGGTGAAGACAAAGCTGACCACTCGCGAAAACAACTCCCCCTGCGAAATTCCAGCCCGATGCCGTTTGGCACAGGGCTGGAGTTCCGAGGACCATGCTTTGGGGGGGCATTTGTGTGAGAAGGGGCCGGCGAAGAGTGAGAGAGAGAGAGAAGAGAGAGAGAGAGAGAGAAAGAGAGATGATAGAAAACAAAATAATACCATCACGCTAAAGAGAACGAGCACAACACGAAACCACTTTAAAAACAACCACTCAAAACAGCGAGGGCCGCCACAATCCCCCGGCCTCTCCTCCTCCTCCTCCTCCTCCTCCTCCTCCTCCTCCTCCTCCTCCTCCCTCCTCGCTCTTCCCTCCTCCCTCCGCCCTCCTCCTCCCTCCCTGCCTCCTCCTCCTCCTTCTCCTCCTCCTCCCTCCTCCACCTCCTCCTCCTCCTCCTCCTCCTCCTCCTCCGTGGGGCGCCCACCTGTTTCTGGCCGCTTTTTGGCCGAGGGCGGCCCAGGCTGGACGCCTGAAGCTGCCCCATGTCTTGTCTTCCCCGCGCCCTTGGAGCCTGGCTGCGCCGATGCTGCAAATGCTGACCCCTCCCTTATGTTGCATCCTTGGGGGACCTTCTCTGTCCCGTCGCGGCCCCATCCGCGTCGAATCCGTGTCGAATCCATGTCGGAATCGTCGGGTCCGTGTCGAATCCGTGCCGGCTGCGCGTCGGATCCACGCCAAATCCGCATCGGCCCGCGCAGGGCACAAGAAAAGACACCAAGCTTGGGGCACAAGCGAGGTACCCCGAAGATGCAACATGACCTCCCTTCTCCAGGCGGGCGCGAGAGGGACCGATGCAGCAATCGTGCTGCAATGCGGAACCTTGAATCAATACCAAAAAGGCTTTTCAGGCCACGGCGAGACTCGATCACGAATGGGTAATTTTTGCCAGCGGACCGAACAAAAAAGCCCGCCTGAACCTAAAGTTGCCCTGATTTCAGAGTCTTGGCTGCAGGGGGGACTGGCTCAGAGGGAGGACGCATCGACCTGGCATCGGCGAGATATCGACGATAGGTAATGTTGAAACCGGAGCCAGCGGGTGCTATCAGCCCCGCCTGACGGGGAGCTGTCCGGGGAACCCAAAGAGCTGAACAGGGAGCTGCGACTTCAGACCGGCCCAGACCCCTAGAGTACAATCAACTCCAAGGAACCCGGTGCCAAGCCATGACATGCAGCGCGGTGTTGTGTTCTATGCCGCTGTGCGATGCCATGCTTGGCATTGCAATGCTTCCTCATGCACTTCTTCACTACGCAATGCCACGCCATGCTATGTGCGAATCGAGAAGATATCTGCGCCATTGTAAGGGATGGGACCGAGGGGCATGACTTCAGATGTTGCGCGAGCGCACCTAGCTTGCCACCAGCCCCTCCCCTTCGCCCCTACCCCTGAACTCCCTCTTCTCTCCATGTGTCGACCTCCTTTCCCCGCCACTTACACAATATGAATACTACTCTCCTCTCTCCCCGGACGACGTCCAGAAGATATCCGGCCTCCCATCAGCGTACTGCTTTTTTAAAGCACTAGATTCTCGGGCTCTCGGTTTTCGCTTGGGTTCGCTTTTCAAAATGCGGTTCCCGCTGAAGCGCTGGTCTCATTTTCGGCCTTCCCGCTCGTTCCGAATCGTGCTCCCGCTGAAGCGGCGGCCCCCCATTTCCGCGCTTCCTCTCGTTCCGAATCGTGCTCCCGCTGCAGCGCTGGCTTCACTTCCTGGTTGTCATATCTATGTTTGGCAATCCGATTCTGTTCGGTCCTTCAACATGTTGCTCCCGCTGCAGCGCTGGCCCCATTTCTGCGCCTCTGGTTGTTCCAAAGCGTGCTCCCGCTGCAGCGCGGGCGTTTTCGATCCTTCCAAATTGGACCCACATCTAGAAAATGATCACCAGAAACAACATCGCCAGTGATTGCACATTCTGTGTCGATTCGTTGGCTTCTTGGGTCGCAGAAGGCCTCCCAACTTCGGGGCGGCGGCGTTCGGAGGAAGTATCAAGCGGGAGCCCCGTTTCTGCTTTCAAAGGCGATGTTGCAAGCAGAGCCAGCGGGTGCCCTCCATCATCCCCGCCTTGTGGGGAGCTTTTCGCGGAGCCCAAGGAGCTAAACATGGAGCCGCGACTCCAGACCGGCCCACACTCTTCGAAAAGTATTCACTTACCCTCCAAGGAACCCGGAGCCCTGCTCTGACATGCTGTGCGGTCTTCTGTTCTGCGCCGCTGTGCGATGCCATGTTTTGCATTGCAATGCTTTGTAATGCTATGCATAACTACGCAATGCCACGCCATGCTATGACATTCTGCGCTCTGCCGTGCTCTTCTACGCCATACCATGACATGCGTTACAATGCGTCCCGCACCCACTCGCGAACACCGCCCTGCTCGACATCCGATTGTGCGAATAGAGAGGAGATCTACGCCATGGTAAAGGATGGGAGGGAGGGGTAGGACGTCAGCTATGACGCCAGCGAGCCTAGCTTGCCCGCGCCCCGTGCTCGCCCTCCTCCGAGGCTCACTCCCTGACGGTGCCGGCGCGAAGAGTGACTTGACCACCTGGGCCTCTGGAGGTCTCGACCCCTTCTCGGGGCCTCCCGCCCCCTCCTCCGCTCCTCCACCTCCTCCTCCTCCTCAACAGCTTCTCCGTGTCGCGCCCCGAGGCCGGTCGAAAGGGCGGGCCGGACCTTCCGCATGATTCCTCGCAACTTGCGACCCTGAAGCTGACCCTGAAGCTTTCAAAGTTGGCGACAGCTTCACAGATGGATGGCGGGTCGTTTTCAACATGTGGCTCTCGCCTTAGCGCCGCGCGCATTCGTTCTAAACATTTGCAATGAGTTTCACAGATTGAGGGCGGGTCGTTTTCAAAATGTGGCTCTCGTCTTAGCGCCGCGCACATTCGTTTCAAACATCTGCGAGAACTTCACGGATTGAGGGCGTTTCCTGATCACAATGTGGCTCTCCCCTTAGCGCCGGGAGCATATCTTCAAACAGTTGCAAGAGTTTCACATATTCTCACGGTCAACGTACCACACATTGTGCTGTGCAAAGAGTCAAGATTACGAGGGTTCAACATTTACTTTTCATTCGCGGTGTTGAAGTCCCCGGAATGGCGTTCTGGCGCGATTCTGGATCAAGACGCAACAATCAGGTTGATCCGTGGCGTTACAATCTCGAGAATCATGTTTCGGCATGCTTCAGGGTTTTCAAACTGATGTTTTCCAACGAGGCAATTCCACCAGTGAAAATGAATCCTTGAAGGGACCCATGGAGTGGCCGCTTGAAGGGAAGGTTGATTCCAACATCTTTGATGACTCTGGGGTTTACACTGGTCCTCCTCCGTCTCCTCCTCCTCCCTCTCCTCCTCCGCGTTCCTCCCCGTTCCTCGTTCCTCCTCCTCTTCCTCCTCCTCCTCCTCCTCCTCCTCCTCCTCCTCCTCATCATCATCATCATCATCATCATCGTCCTCTTTCTCCTACTCTTCCTCATCCTCCTCATCCTCTCCTCCTCGTCTCCTCCTCCTCCTATTTCCTCCTCCTCCTCCTCCTCCTCCTCATCCTCCTCGTTCCTCCACCTCCTCCTCGTTCCTCCTCCTCCTCCCCCTCTGACACACGACGTCGCGCGACTTTCTCACGACGTGGGCCCCCGGAGGTCTGGAGCCCGAGCCCCCCGGGCCCGAGCTCGAGCCCCCGGGGCCCGAGCTCGAGCTCTTCCTGGGCACCGGCTCGTCCCCCAGCGGGAGGACGCATCCAGGACGAGGATCACGGCGGGTGAGGCTGCATCGAGAATCTCCGAGAGCCCGCGGCCCTGGAGGATGTTTTTCGGGCGCCGCGGCCTTCTCCGAGCGCTTCCGGAACGCCCTGGCACGAATTTTAGTCGGCCCAAGTCTGCAAGGACCTTGGACGCCCATTTTGAAGCTTGTCGAGCGGGGCGCGGCCGACGAAGGTGGCAAAGGATGGACCGAGGAGGCAAGGACGCAAGGGTCCCCTTCGGAAGACTGCCCATCCTTGCTATGCGGGCTGACTGCCGTCCTCGCCCTGTAGCCCCGCCCGGCCCGGGCCCGAGCTCGAGCCCCAGCTCGAGCCCCAGCCCGGGCCCAGGGGCCGGCTCCGCGAGCCCGGCCCTGCCCGCCCCAGGGGAAGGGGGCGCGGCAGGGCGGGGTGCCGACGGCGGCGGCGCCTGGATGTCGCAGCAGTCGTCCTCGCGCTCGGCGGGGCGCGACGCCCCCCTCGCGGGGTGCCCTCCCCTGCCGCCCTGAGGTCGGGCATGTCCTCTCTACAGGCGGATGTCGGAAGAAAAGTCTTCAATAGTCAAACAGATTCAAGCATTCGGAAAAATAATTGCAATAATCTACCCAGAACTATGTTCTTACTATTCTGGAGACTGTTCCTCCTGTAGAGGGACGTGCCCGCCTCAGTCCGAAGGCAACGCCAGGACAGGGGCGAACTCGATGGCCCCCGAGGCGGCCAAGATCGCCCCAAGCGAGCCCCACGTGGCCGAAAAGTAAGGCGGGGGCGGCCCAAAGTGCACCCCAGACGGCCCAAGATGGCCGAGAGGACGGCTCATGGACAGGCCAAGAGGCCCCAAAGAGGCCGCCAAGAGGTCCTCCAGGCCGGTCCAAGAAAGGCAGCACATCATTGATGTTGCGTATGTCTTTGAACGATGCTGATATCCCCCCACGCGTCGTGAACAGAAATCACCCGCGGGAGGTTCTTCGCCATGCTCTGCCTCTGGGGGCCCTGGCCGGCCTCGGGGCCGTCGAAGAACGGCTCGGGATGAAAAACCGGTCCCCGGGAATGGGTCTAGATCTCTGGGGGTCGGCGTTGTGAACAAAAATCGGGGGTCTGGGCAGGGAGGCTGGGATGGAGGGAGGCTGGGATAGAAGTGCCGATGAGGGAAGGTAAGGTAGAGGATGGGATGGGTGACGAAGGGGGGCGGAGTGAATCAGAAGAGAGGGAGAGAGAGAAAAAGAGAGAGAGAGAGGGGGAGAGAGGGAAAGAGCGCGAGAGAGAGAGTGAGAGGACGGGAGCCTGCACCTACACTCACTTCCCCCTGGGCCGCGCGGAGGCGCCCCAGCTCCTGGTAGGCGTAGAACATCGCGACGCCGTCCCAGAACGCGTGCAGCTCCGCGTACACCAGGGCCACGCCCCAGGTGTCGCAGAGCAGCAGGTAGCCTCCGGCCCCCGAGCGCGGCGCGCGCTCGGATCGTGCACGTGCTGCTTCTTGCTCTTCGAGGCAAGGGGGGGGGCTGGCACACAAGCCCCTGCCTCCCCTATGATGAGCTCGTGCCGTGACGCGTGGATCGTTCAAGCTTGAACAGTCGGCGCTTTCCGACGGCACACTTCGTTCGCTGTCGGTCCGATGCGGCATCGGGCTGACATCGAACGCGAGAACAGCGTCAACGCGACAACCACGGTTCGGGACGGGCGGTAGTGTCAGAGTTGAAGTCGCAGATCGCTCAACGCGAGTCGGCACGCTTCAGTGGGGAATGTTGGAGACAAGATCGATGTGGTTTGTCAAACGATTTGATTGTAGATGCCGTCCTCAAGGTAGTGAGGATGTGAGATTCCACTAAGATGGGCGCGGGGGTTGCTAAGGGGATAAGGGTTTTTCTCAGTGGACGCCAAGGGGGGTTTATCTGGCCTAACCTATCTTATGAGTGAGCTTCACATGCCCCAAGCGACTTACGGTGATTAAGCAACTCTGCTAAGTGGGCAGAACCCATCAAGCTTGGAGCCCTAAACCCCCTAAGCCTCTTGGGGCAGTAGCAACCAACTACTGAGCTAGGTTAGGCCAGACATATCCCACCTTGGCATCCACTGATAACCCCCTATCCCCTTAGCAACCCCCGCGCCCATCCCAGTAGGGTCATTCTTGCGTACAGCCGAAGGCGGCGCGAAAGGGGGTCGGCTTTCTCAGAAGGCGCGGGGGGGGGGCTTTCGAGAAGGCAGACGGCTGGCCTTCCCGGCCCACTGAGCGCACACACGTGGCGTCGGAGGTCTGGGCCGAGGCGCGGGTGTGCAGTGTTGAGCGCCACCGGTGGCGTGCTGGGATGGGCGCGGGGGTTTGAGGAGGGTTTTCAGTGGATACCAAGGTGGGTTATATCTGGCCTGACCTAGCTCATTAGTGGCCTGCTACTGCCCCAAGATGCTGAATGAGGGGGTTTAGGGATCCAGGCTGAGTGGGCTCTGCCCACTTAGCAGAGTTGCTTAATCCCCGTAAGCCACTTGGGGCGTGTGAAGCCCACTTATAACATAGTTAGCCCTGGTATAACCCCTTTGGCGTCCACTGAGAACCCCCTATACTCTTAGCAACCCCCGCGCCCATCCCAGTAGGCAAGATTGACCTTTGGTGCACGGCTGTTGGGCAGCCGCGGGGGAGGGGCGAAACCCAAGCGCACCAGGCGCACCTATCGCATCGCAGTCTGCGATCGGGGGACACCAGTGGGCCCGCACCAAGAGTCTCTCCGGCGAAAGGTCACTCTCACGTGTAGTCGACCCCCCCCGTTTGGGCGCCGCCATCTCAAACAGCTGGCGTCTCGATATTGGAAACGGGCCCCCCGACCTCTCGACCACTTCCCCGAGACCGGCTTTATCCATCCCGAGCAGTGGTTGTGACGGTCCCGAGGCCCGGCAGAGTCCCCGAAAGACGGACAACGAGGAAACAACCACCTCCGTCTCGACTCTCGAGACGCTGGATGTCTGGGACCCCCCTCTCCTTCCTCTCGGCGGCGAGCGAGCGGGGGAAGCGAGAAGGAGAAGGCCTTCTCAGAAAACGGCCGCAGGGCTTCTCAGGATCCCTCGCGCCGTTTGGGAAGTTTTTGTCCGTGCCTTCGCGGGGAGCTTAGAACACTTCTCAGAAGGTCCGAGGACTCCCGAGCCAAAAGGCCCGCCCCTGTCTGGTGGGCTTGTTTTCCACCGCCACCACAAGAAGTAGGAGGGGGAGGAGATCCTCCTCCTCCTCCTCCTCCTCCTCCTCCTCCTCCTCCTCCTCCTCTCCTCCCTCATTCCTCCACCTCCCTCCCCTCTCCAACGTATGTGGTGGTGGAAACCGGGCCCGCCCCTGTTCACTTCCCCCTGGGGCTCGCCGCCGACCCCCGCCCTGCGTGCCCACCCGGCCGCGCCGCCCCCGGGGCCGGGCCTGCCAGGAGCCTCATCGCGGTCCAGGAGGCGCCCTCCAGCGGGTAGGCGCGCCTCGCCACTCCCCCCCCCGCCGGGGCCTCCCTCGCGCGCTGCGCCACCCACGCCCCTCCACTCTTGTGTTGCTCCCATCGTACTCAAGGGCCACATCCCAGCAGCAATTTCGAGCACCCAGAAAAGTATCGAAACAGTGTCGAGCGAGTGTCGCCTCCCAGGACCCGACACGTGAAAACCCAAATAAGTACTTTCCTGGTGCTCGAAATTCTTCCTGGTGATCAATGCTAAAACAAATTGGAAGATCATGACCCTCTTGCAGCAGAACAACTAGCGCATGAGCAGAACAACTTATGGAACTCCACGCGGATTTCTGGGATCAGCGCTGGGCCCCTCTAGCGACGCCTTCGGCGCCGCCCCTGGTGCGCTCCGCGCGCCAGGGAGGGGGTTAAGCGCCGATCCAAAGTATCCGCGCGGAGCTCCAACAGTTTGCGTGTGCCGTTTGTCTGAGTTCCTCATGAATATGCATCTGCCGTTGTTTGTTATCTGTTTTTAAACTCGGCGTGTCGTAAACCATTTGTTTAGCCTTGCTTTGTCCCAACAAGAAGAAAACAAAGCACGCAAAATCAATATTCTCTGCTTTTGCCCTTTCACCCGCGATTTTTTTGCATGTTCAGATCAGCTGGTTGCATCGCTCACATTGCCGTCTACGGCGTCCGCAGCTCCTCCTCTGTGGCGTGCAGGCCTTCTCCTGGCGCGCAGTCTGGCGGGCCCGATGGCCGGTTGCCCCTCCTGGGGCCGTCGGCCCTCCGGGCCTGTTTCGGGCAGGTGTTACACCGGTGTCGCAAAATGTGTTTGGACTCTTTTAGCTCCGGGGGAAGAACGCCGGCAGGAGCGAGCGGGAGCGAAGGCAGCAGGGGAGACAAGGACCAGCCTTCGACCAAAGAGCAAAACAACGATGATGAGCAACGATGGTCTTCAAAACTTTGGAACAACTGGAGCAACCGATCAAAACCGCTAGAACACTGTTGCGTCAATTTTCGCGCCGTGCAACCCAGTTTAAACAATTCCTGGGGCGTTTTTAAGAAGAACCTAACTGCTTGTTGTTCTCCGAGCCTGATCACCTCTGCCTCCCCCTACCTCCTCTCGCTGCAAAACAAAAAAAAACGCAAGGTTTGGGGGCACTTTTGGCCTCCAAAGGCCCTCGCCAGGCCCTGGCACCGTCGAAACACGCCTCGGGAAGAGGTGCCTCCTGGGGATCGGGCTCCTCGATTCGGGCCCCTTCGGCACCGCATGGGACCCAGGGGGCCGGAGCTGGGATGGGCGCGGGGCTTGCTGAGGGGATAAGGGGGTTCTCAGTGGACGCCGAAGAAGTTATACCTGGCCTAACTTATCTTATAGGTGGGTTTCACATGCCCAAAGTTGCTTAGAGGAATTAAAGAACTCCGCTAAGTGGGCGGGGCTCCCTTAGCCTGGATCCCTAACCCCCCTAAGCCTCATGGGGCAGTAGCAACCCACTAATGAGCTAGGTTAGGCCAAATACAACCCACCTTGGCATCCACTGATAACCCCCCTATCCCCTTACCAACCCCCGCGCCCATCCCAGCAGAAACTCTCCCAGAAACTCCGCTGAAAGAGACCGGAATTCTGCTGACGCAGCCCAGGAATTCCCAACAAAGAAATCAAGATGCATTTGATGTTTCTATGATCTTGATGTTTGCTGCTCTGTGGCCGCCTGCGGGATCCCGGGCTGCAGCAGACAGTCCCGAGACAGTACCCGAAGGTTTCAGAAGGAATTATTGTTTCGGGTGCAGGTTCTCTTATTCGGTGATTCGACATTGGGCGGACGGGAGGGGAGGGGTCTGGCTCTGGATCTCTGCTTAATGACACTGTTTGCACAGTGCGTCCTATGAGGGAGACTCCACCTGCTTGAAGCAGGCGGTCGATGGAACACAGGATGCCCATTGCGGAGTGCCCAAAGTAGCCACAATCTACTCCATGGGGTGGGAGGAGAGGGGAGTGTGCGAGGGCCGGCGTCGATGGGCAAAACAATGAATAAGGAAACGATCACCAGGGAGTGTGTTGGCATGCATGTTTCTGAGGTCCTTGGCAGAGTTCATCTGGGGGTCTCCTGGCACAATCTCCGCGAGGCCTTACGTATGCGCAGTTAAAGGAGCCTCGCCCCTCTTGGAGGTCTCTTGGGAGCGACTTCCTGGATGGGCGCGGGGGTTGCTGAGGGGATAGGGGGGTCATCAGTGGACGCCGAAAGGGTTATACCTGGCCCAACCTAGCTTATAAATGGGTTGCACATGCCACGAATGTCGTATTGGATCAGGAGCAACTCCGCTGAGTCGGCGGGGCCCATTAGACTGGATCGCTATCCTCCCCCCAGTCCAATTGGGGCACCTAACGAACTAGGCTAGGCCAGACATAATCCACCTTGCGGCGTCCACTGACAACCCGAGAGCCTGGAATCGAATCGATAAATCGGATCGGCGATCGGAATGAATCGGATCGGCAGAAATCGGCAGCCAAGTCGGAAGAAATCGAATCGGCAGAAATCGGCAGGCTCATCGGCCTCCATTGAGCCCAAATCGGAATCCGAAATCAACTCGAATCGGAATCGGAAGTCATCGAAATCGAATCGAATCGAATCGGGGGAATCGAAATGAGTCCTGCATATCCCCTTAGCTCCTTCCGCGCCTATCCCCGTTGGAGTGCGGGCACCCCGCAGCACGCCCCAGCCACGTGCCCCGCCTGTAGAGCAGAGGGGCTCGCCCGCCCTCGAAGGGAAGTCTCCCAAATCGGCGCACCCCTCTCTGATGCGAGGGCTGTCCCCCCCTTTGCCGCGCAACGGGCGTGCAACGCAGAGAGAGAGAGAGAGAGAGAGAGAGCGAGAGAGAGAGAGAGAGAAAGAGAGAGCGACAGAGAGAGAGAGAGAGAGAAGAAAAAAGAAAAGAGAGAGAGAGAGAGAGACCGCACCCCCGCGGGCGGCGAGGAAGCCCAGCCCTGCCAGTCGGCCCGTATCAGAAGGATGCGCGACACAGTCGGGGCGCTGACCTCAGGAACCCCGAATAAGAAACGAGGCCAATGTTTTTGCCATAGGTGAAACTTCGATTTCCCATCGAAGACCAAGAAACACCGAAGGCAAACTGTGAAACAATTAAGGAACACGGCGCCCCTCCCCAACGCAGAGGGTTCGTTTTTCCGCGCCCTGGCTGTAGGGATGCAAAGCCTTGGACGCCCATGTCGAGGCTTCTCGCGCGGGGCGCGGCAAACGAAAGTGGCCAAGGATTGACCCGAGGAAGCAGGGATGCAAGGGTACCCTGGGAAGGTTGCCAATCTCCTTGCTATGCAGGCTGACTGTACCGCGCCCTGGACGTTGAAATGCGCAAGGACCGCACCCCGTGCGCGCACCCTCTGGTGCCGCGAACATGCCGCCCCTGCCACGCCCTGGGAGGCGAAACGCATGGAGCCCGCACCCGGTGCGTGCCCCTTCCGGCGGCAAGGGAGCGCCACCCCTGCCGCGCAAGCAAATCGTGAAACGCATACTTGCGGAGACCGCGCCCCGTGCTCGCCCCCTCCCAAGACCCCCGACGTCGTGATTTTTGTCAGAACGTCGACCCCAAGAGGTCTGGATCCCTTCCCCAAGACAAATGTTTCATCCTGAGTGGTCTTTTGAGAGTCCCGAGACCCGGCGAAAGCCCCTGCTGGGATGGGCGCGGGGGTTGCTAAGGGAATAGGGGGGGTTATCAGTGGATGCCAAGGTGGGTTATATCTGGCCTAACCTAGCTCATTAGTGGGTTGCTACTGCCCCAAGAGGCTTAGGGGGGGTTTAGGGATCCAGGCTACATGGGCCCCGCCCACTTAGCAGAGTGTTTTAATCCCTCTAAGCCACTTAGGGCATGTGAAACCTACTCATAAGAGAGGTTGGGCCAGGTATAACCCCTTTGGCGTCCACTGAGAACCCCCTTATCCCCTCAGCAAGCCCCGCGCCCATCCCAATGGAGGCCGAAAATAGCGAAAAAACTCCCGTCGTGATTTTTGTCACAACGCGAGGTGGTCTGGGCGTGGCGGCGAGGAACTGCCACCCGTGTCGCGCATGGGATGGCGAAGCGCGTAGAAACAACAGCCCATCGCGCGCGTTCTGCACGACTGCGCCTGCCGCGCCTGGCGCGCGGCCGTGCAGCAGGGCAGGAAACAGGAACGACCCTTGCCGAATGGGCCCGGTTTTCGCCGCATGGGCTCTTCCATCTCAAAGAAGAGGCCTCCTAGATGGGGACGGAGTAGATGGGGATGGAGGATCGCACCGCATCGCCGGTGCATCGTCGATGCATCGGCGACGTCGACGCGAAGCCAATCGGGCCTCACATCGAGCCGCATCGGCAGTGCATCGGCGATGCGACGCGATCCTCCGACCCCATCTACTCCGACCCCATCCAGGAGGCCTGGACAGAGGCAACCGTCCATTAAGAGTGCTTCCGCTGAGGGTCAACTGTTTCGTTTTCGAAAGGATGGTCTGGTGTGCCGCCCGGGCCGGCGCTCGTGGTCGCCCCGTTGCCGCCCAGCCGCCGCTGGTCGCCGCCCGTCGCCGCCTCGTCGCCGCTCGTCGCCGCCGCAACTGGGCTCGTGTGCCGCCCCAGCCGGCTTGTGGCCGCCCCGTCGCCGCCCCGTCGCCGCTCGTCGCCGCCTCGTCGCCGCCACCTCGTCGCCGCACCACATACGTTGAACTACGTAACTCACAAGAGTGCACCACACAGAGATTCCTTCTCTAACGGATGATGAGGATCTACCCTCCCCCCGACATGAAGGGCTCCCCTTTTCCAGATTGCAATGTGCAAAAGATTCAGCCCCATCGTCCATCCGAACTACGAGGTCGTACCATCCCGGGCATGCCAAGATCGTCCCCCTCATCCTCTACAGAAAATCGTCCTCATCCGTGCATTCGTTTTAACTATACACAACCATACGAGGCCAAGGCGTGCGGGAATCTTTCAACAACCGTATGTCCCGTAAGGATTTCAACATCGAGCGTCCCGAAAAATATGGACAGAACGCAT